ACCCTATGACTGAGCCATGAACCACTTGCCTCTCAGCAACCAGTAGAAAAGACCTCACAGCTCTCCGTGCTTTTTTTTCTTTCGAGACAGGGTCTTGCTCTGTCACCCAGGCTGGAGTACAATGGTGCCATCATAGCTCACTGCAGCCTCTACCTCCTGGGCTCAAGCAATGCTTCCACCCCAGCCTCCCAAGTAGCTGGGACTACAGGTGCACACCACCACGCCCAGCTAATTTTTGTATTTTTTATAGAGATGGGGTTTTGCCATGTTGCCCAGGTTGGTCTTGAACTCCTGAGCTCATGTGATCCACCCGCCTCAGCCTCCTAAAGTCTTGGGATTACAGGTGTGAGCCACCAGGCCTGGCCTCCCTCTGTGCTTCTGTGATTCCCTCTACCCCAAATGCTTCCACTCTGTGTGTCTACCTGCTCATCTTTCGTGATTCAGCTTAAACATCTTTTCCTTTGAGCTCCCAGACTGAGACAGAGTCCCAGCTTCTAAGCTCTGAGAGAAGGCTGAACCAACTTTTATGGCTATGGGAGAAGTTTCTCTATGGATGACCCATCTAGGTGTTGGGCTGTCCCGCTGAGTGTACAGAAGGTGCAAACTGCTGTATTGATCTTTGTAACCAGAGCCCTTGCAGTTGGGCTAAATGAACTTAGGGACCAAAAAGGGTGGGCCAAGGGTATAGCTGATGATGGTGAGAAGATAGGCAATGTGTTGATAAGGTACACTGATAAGTGATTTAGATGTTCTCATGTTTCTCATAACCTCTGTGAAGATGGGATTATCCCCATTGTACGCATGGCAGAACTGAGGCTCAGAGATCCCCGGAATGCATGACAGGGCTGAGAGTCAACCCAAGTGTATTCAATTCCAAAGCTAGGGCTCTTGGTCACAGTGCAGTATGTGTGAAGCCATAGCGTATGCACGTATTATTAATAAAAGAACAATCCAGTTAGAAAACAAATTTTCCATCCATTAGCTGAGTCAAGGCTTGAGGATTTGGAGACTAAGCAACTCTCAAGAGAAAGTTCTGCTGGGACTCCTCCCTTGGCCTTCCCTTTCTGCCCCCTCTGATGCCCACTTCATCCATCCCTGCCTGCCTTCTGGTCTGTCCCTGCAGCGTGAGTGCCAGACAGAGGCCTGTTCTGGTGTCCCGACACGCTACAATTATGTGGATTTACACAGCAAGCATAAGGTCTTCTTCGCATGTATGGGTTTCCCATTCCCAACCAGACCATGAACTTCCTAAGGAAAGTGATCAAATTCCCAGCTTCTCAACCCTCACGGTGGGGCAGGGAGATGGTAAGTGACTTTGGTTGGGTGCTACCACCTGTCAGGCCCAATGAGGGGGGGTCCTTCCATGAGTTATTTTAAGAATTTGGGCTCTTTGAGGTGTGTTATCCCCATTTTACACAGGAGAGCCGCCCTGAGGCTCACAGAAATTAGTGTGCTTGTCCAAGATCACCCAATTCGTACGATTAACCTTAGAAAAGCTTTCTGCCTTTCTTGGGATGAATATTTTGAGCTAGGAAAGAGGTAACCATTTCCTGTCTTTTTAACCTGAGAGGAACTAATTGGTGTTTTCCCAGGCTTCAGAGAGAGGCACAGGGGTGCCCCACTGGAGGCTGGGGGTCTTATTTCTGAAAAGTTATGATGTCTTTACATACAACTGGGAGGCAGAGGCATCCCTCACTGAGGTTTTTCCTGGCTGAGACACAAAAACCTGTGGACCTCTGCATCCTGACCCTGTATCTGAGCCATGACTCACTGGCCAGGGAAGATCTACTGAGACCAGTACCAATAATGGAGCCCAGTTGATTAGAACCTTGAGAAGCCCTAAATGGAGTGAGAAACATTTGGCTTCCAATGGGAAATCCAGATGCTTAGGGCATCATTTGAAATACCATGGTGGGCTCCTCAAGGGCAAGACCTCAGCTCTTGTTTCCTGTCAGGGGATCAGTGATTGAGCAAGGCTGATATTGTCAATTTCTACATTTGGGCTCTTATGGAGCTGGCCATTTCAGAGTCAGGTGTAGCAAAACAAAAGCACACGCCCGAAAATGCAGCATTCTGAAGAATGGGAAATGGAAGGGGCAGTGAGGAGGAAGTCACCAGGACACGTGCAGCCTTGGGTTCGAGGTCCACCTTGCTCTCTGCCCCTCTCTATCTGCACTGGGCCCTGGTGGTTGACCTGAACAGACCACAGCCCTGGGCTCCCAAGCTCTGGGGCTTCCAGCTGTGTTCGGCCAATGAAAGCCCTGGCCGGAGGTCAGGGGGAGGGAGGAGATGAGGCCAGACTGGCATTCCCTCTGGCCACTGCCTGGCAGGGTCGTCTCAGGATAGCTAGGTCCCACTACCTATGGCTGCTGCTGCTTTCGTGACAGCTTGTTGCATGTGACTTCCCCTCCCCACCCTGGGTTGGGGTTACTGTTCCCTTTTCTTGTCCTCTCGGGCATTGGGTGGGTAACAGCCAAGCGGCTGCTAGCCTGAGTGACCGGCTTCCATTTGGCTCTCCCCTTTGGAATCTGTCCCTTTGTAAATAAACCCACTCCAAATTATCTAATTTAAACGTGTTTCCAACTTGGACCATGACTCATAAATATCAGGGTAGATCAGGGGACATTTTCACCCTGAATTCATAGGAGACTTTGTGCCAACCCGTGGACCCTCATTGTTGCTGGTGAGTGAGTGGACATAGGAGTTTTGTCTCTACCGTATTCAAAAGCATCTCCTGAGCTCTCTCCCTGAAATTATGAGTCTAATAGATTGCTGGACCCTCTATCTGGTTTCTCAAACCAGTCATTGTCCCTGAGGGGCAGGAGGAGTCTTGACAGGGGTCTTGTTGGACCCTTCACCACTTGGACTTCTTTTTCATCTCCAGGAGAATCTGCTGAGAAGAGCCTCTGATCATCTGCAGCTTTTATTGACCTACAGTGACTTCTGACTTCGTGGAAGGAGTTGTTTATTGGCCAAGAGTTATGAGCTTAACGCGGGCCACTTGCTGACCTTCTGCACTTGACACGATTAGTCACCCTGCAAATCTGGTGGAAATTCTGAGTTATGGGACATGAGACTGTCCTGCCTCTTTCTTCTCAATGTACAGCTTAATGACTTGAAATTCCTCTTGGATTATCTGGAGAGCCTTCTTTTTCTAGAAAACAGAAAAAACATCAGTAGCTTCTCCTTTGTTATGTTGTCACTTTATTGTCACAGAGCAGCGGTGGACTCACCAGATTGCAGTCCCTGTTCCTTAACATCTATGAGAGTGACTGACTTCGGCATAGCTACTCTAAGGCTGGGCATGGTTGCTCACGCCTGTCATCCCAGCACTTTGAGAGGCTAAGGTGGGTGCATTGCTTGAGCCCAGGAGTTCAAGACCAGCCTGAGCAATGTGGTGAAACCCTGTCTCTACAAAAATTTTAAAAATTAGCCAGGCATGGTGGTGGGTGCCTGTAATCCCAGCTACTTGGGAGGCTGAGGCAGGAGAATGGCTTGAGCCCAGGAGGTGGAGGTTACAGTGATCCAAGATCGCCAACCCCTGCATTCAAGCTGGGGAGCGACAGGAATAAAAACCCATCTGAAAGACAGAAACAGAGAAAGAGGAAGAGAGGAAGGAAGGAAGGAGGAAGGAAGGAAGGAGGAAGGAAAAGGAAGAAAGAAGAGAAGAAAGAAGGAAAGGAAGGAGGAAGAAGGAAGGAGGGGAGGGTTGAGGGATGGAGGAGGGAAAAAAGAAAAGAAAGGAAAAGAAAGGAAAAGAAAAAGGAAAAGGAAGAAGAAGAAGAAAAAGAAAAAGAAAAAGAAAGAAAGGAAAGAAAGAAAAGAAAAGAATAACTACCCTGAAACAAAGCGACTTGTTTTGGGTGGATGTACTTAACACACACCCAACATAATGGGTTTCTATTCCAGCAGTTCTTGATCATAAGTTAATGTCTTTTGTTATATGAGGATGAATGTCACAGCTGCCCTGTAGGACTAGCAGCTTCATCTCTTAAAGTCAGATGATCTTCACTGGAGATTTCTCTCTGATTGCAGTGAACCCCTGGTAACTAACTCCTGCTTTGACAAATAGCCATGCCCAAATCATCATGTAAAACCTTGAAACTGTGAGCATTTACCTGCTAGGGTACAGCTGATTGTTTAATCAGATTGGGATAGGTTTTGCTGCAGTAACAAATATCATTAAAAGTCTGTCCATGTGACCATGGCTCAGTACCCACCCCCAGGCCCCGTCACCACAACCCAACTCCAGAAGCCATGTCACTGGAGCCCCTGTGGTGTAGGTGGGACACAATCCTTCTGCAGCACAGGGAAAAAAGATCATGACATGGCACAGGCCAGTTCTTATTAAAGCCTCTACCACGAAATAACATGCCTCACTTCTCTTCATGTTTCATCAGCCAAAGCAAGTCATGGGACAGGCTAATGGGGGGCGGGGCTTGGGGTCCTAACGAGAGCCTACACATTTGTAACTAGCCCCAGTGACAGCACTGATCATTTCTTAGGAAAAATTCTGGCCCTGCTTCTGTAGAGAGGCAGAATACTGTCTATTCATGTGGCAGTTTTGATTGAGATCCTTACTTTTTGCAAAAGGACACTGTGTAGTTTGCTAGGGCTGCTGAAACAAGGGAACACAAAGCAGGCGACTTCACAGAAATTTATTCTGTCACCACCCTGCAGGCCAGAAGTTCAAAATCAAGGTGTCAGCGGGGCCACACTCCCTCCAAAGCCTCTAGGGGAAGGTCCTTCCTTGCCTCTTCCAGCTTCTGGTGGCCCCGGGTGATCCTTGCCTTGTGGGACCTCGCTCCAGTCTCTGCCTCCATCTTCACGTGACTTCCTTCTTTCTCTGTGTTTGTCTAAGGACACTGACCACTGGATTAGGGCCGACCTACTCCAGTATGCCCTGATTTTCATTTGATCACATCTGCAAAGATGCTGTTTCCCACCCAATAAAGTTACATTCACAGGTGCTGGGTGCAAGGATTTCAACATACCTTTCTGAGGACCCTTCATCCCATAAGAGGTACTTAACATGTACTCAATTGGTCTTCTCCAAACACAATTATATGGTTTGGTTTTGCTTTGCTTTGTTTCTGGTGTGCTGTTCAAAGCATCTGAAAGGCCCTTAGCAACACGAGACATCCACACTGCAGTCCCCTGACCCCTCAGCGAACAGACCCATGAGCTTCTACTGCTTGAGCCGTATCAGAGCTGGGCCGGGAAACACCGTAGCCCTGGAGGCTCACTGGAAGGATGCAGTGCACTGCTGTCTTATGTCGGCTTAAGCATTTTGGGGCTTTGGTTTTTGCTTCATTTTTAGCTGTTATTGGAGCTGAGAAAACCCTTTTCAAATGAGGTCTTAAGGATTCCCTAGCAGCCCCAGTATATAAGCCCAATAAAAGCTGAGCTTCCCTGTTTGATGTGGGTGTTGTCCCCGTGGGAGGAAATTCAAAGTACCTTCTGGTTTCTCGGTCTTCCACTCCGTGGGCAGAGTCGCAGTGTTTGTGAGTGTGGCTCACTGGCCATTTCTCCCTTTCCTGTGGCCAGAAACCAGGAGGGCCAGAGCCTACCCTCGGCTCCTCCTCTCTGTCAGCGCCCGGCTATGAATGTGGGATCTCCTGCTCTCCAGCCTGCTGCTTCCTCTCTGGTTGCCGATGCCCCTGAGTGTATGGGGACCTCATCTCTCCTCCCAGCTCAGATCGCAGATCTGAGACTCTAGCCCTGGAGAAAGAAGAAAGAATGAGTTAGTCCAATAAAACTGTGGCTTTATTTACTTTTGAAAAAGAGAGACTTGGCCTGGCCCAGCCAATCCTCTGCACTGGGATTGGTGCAACCTTCATTGCTTGACTTCCTCCTCCCCAGCCATGGTCTTCTTTATGCATCTCCTCCCTTGGGGGTGTCCCGGATGGGGCAATAGAGGACCCAGGCATTTGTGCTTTGTCCTGGCCCCAAATGCCATCTGGTCACACCCACAGCATCCCCAAGTCTTCTCATGGCCCAGATAGAGAGCCCAGAGGCCACTCAGTAGCTCCCTTTTCCCTGGGGTAGCTCCCAGGACTGCTGGCAGGTTCCTGGGGGCTTTGCGGAACAATGTAAGAATCCCTGGTGGAAATCAGTGTTTCTCAGCATTAGATGTGGATCAGAAATGGCTGCAGAGCTGTGGAAATATACAGAGGCTGAAATCTCTCCAGTACCCGGCAGCACTACCCACGAGGGAAAGGCCCCAGGGCCTGGATTCCAGGTGACTTTGATGTCAGGCAGGGTTGAGAACCACTGACCCAAACATTCTGGGCTTTATCCCTGGGTTATATCAGATCATTTCCAGGCCTTGCAACACCTGCTTACTGTGTTTACTCTAGAAACCATGGAGTTGGTTGGGTCTCTCACTATTTTAGTCTGTGTCCACCACACGAAGATCCACCCCACAAAAGCTTTGTTCTCTTAGACAATGAGAATTTTTGTAAATGATCATGTTTGTCTTCTGTGCTTGGACCCACAGGCTTAAATGTGCAGTTTAATTTTAGCAACGACACAGGTCCTGTGACTCCAACAGCTGCAGATAGCCTTTGCCTCTGACCTTGGGTTCCTCTATTTTCCTTGGTCTTAATTTTGTATTACACTTCATGGAATTACCTATCAGTACCAGGAATAGTTTAGGGGATAAAGTGGCATTTGCACTTACAAAGAACAGGCCAGGTGTGATGGCTCACACCTGTAATCCCAGCGCTTTGGGAGGCAGAGGCTAGCGGATCACTTGAAGTCAGGAGTTCGAGACCAGCCTGGTCAACAAGTGTCAAACCCTGTCTCTACTAAAAATACAAAAACGAGTTAGGCGTTGTGGTGGGCGCCTGTAATATTAATACCAGCTACTTGGGAGGCTGAGGCAGGATAATTGCTTGAACCTGGGAGGCGGAGGTTGCAGTGAGCCAAGATGGAGCCACTGCACTCCAGCCTGGGTGACAGAGTGAGACTCCATTTAAAAAAAAAATTAGAAGGAACCAAACAGAAGTGGTGAGTCTGATGATGGCGAAGCTTGTGTCTACAGCCACTGGACACCAACTGCAGGTTAAAGAGAGCTCCTCTAGCTTTAGATTTCCTCGTATGTGCCGCCTCCTCCAGGAAGCCTTTCCTGGTCATCTGAACCAGATGAATCACCTCATGATAAGTGATCCTAACTCTTGTTCTCCATTAAAATGACTCATTCAGCCCCAGTCTTCCCCACCAGACTGTAATTTTGACACGAGCAAAAAGCATGCCTGTCTTTCTCCTGGGTGTAACCCCAGTGCCCAGCACACGGCCCACTGCAGCATAATCATCTGATAAATATTTATTGGATGAGCAAATAGAAATAGCTGCAAAACTCGACTGCTGGGTGAAATATACAAGAAATAAATATAAAGGCTCTGTGATAAGAAGGTGACTCACAGAGCGAGGAGAGAGAAGGAAAAAGAAAGGCAGGTGGGAGGGAAGAAAGGAGCAGCTGGTTGAAAAGAAGACAGAACAGGAGCTGGCAGCGTCTGAGCAGCTATTTACCCAGATCCCAGTGAAAGTCTCTACAGACTGTGTCCCATTTTATCTTCACAACACTCTTGGAAGGCGAGCCGGCTACCCCCACTTTACAGATGAGGAGACTGAAGCTTGAGGCATCTAAGCTGCCTGAAATTCATAAAGCCCAGGAGTAACTGAGTCAGATCTGAATCTGAGGGTCTGTGGCTTCAAAGCTGGGAGGCTGTCCCCTGCAGCACAGGGACAAATATCAGGATCCCAAAGTGGCCACACCTACTACTCACCCCCCGAGGGTCCCTTACACCTGCCCCATGAACAGGGTTCTCTTCGCAGAGGGTTTGCTTCTGTGGCTGGCTGCGCGAGCAGGGATCAGCGGAAAAGGAGGTGATAAGGCTTCAATGTTGGCACCCCTATTCAGTGAGAAGAATGGAGCACCCAGATTATAACAGGGCTAACTGGGGGACTGAGTAAGGAGGAAACACCTCCATTTCACCTTGCCTGTGAGCTGGGGAGGTGGTAGGGGTTGGGCAGCTGCGGCTCCCATCCCTACCCTCCCAGCCTCCATCCACACCTCCTCCCCGAACTACCTGCAGAGGAGCCAGCCAGGCTGGGCTTGAGGATGTCAGGCCAGGAATGGCCAGGGGCCCAGGGGATGTCAAGTCAGTGGGCACCAGCTGGGGCCTTGCTTCGGCAACACAGTCAGAGCTGTGTACACCAGAGCCAGCGGTGGCCCTTTTTCCAAGCTGCAGTGGCTGCCGGGCCAGAGGCTGTCCCTGTGGATTCTGGCCACCTGCAATTCTCAGTCTTCATGGTGGGAAGAAGCCTCATCTAGACACCCCAACCCAAGGAGAAGGGTAGCACCAATGTGTGCCCCTGGGACAAGAGGACTTTATTTGCCCTCACCTGGTCCTCTGATTTGGGGACTCTGGGGACCCTGGCCAACATACATGTACTTCAAAGCCTTAGCTTCCACTCTAGCCATTGGTCATCCAGTGCTTAATTCCTCATGTGAAAACAAAAATGCTAGCAAGAGTATAGAAGCCTTGGGGAAGTTGCCCAGAATAGAAAGGCTTTAAACCCCCAGAAAGCACTGAGCATTTCAAATCACTATCCTGAGTCAATTGGTGCAGAATCCTCTTTCAAGCTTTGAATTAACACTGTGTAGCTAGCACTGTTGACTCAGAAGAGTCCAAGGGTTGACCGGGGGAGAGATAGATGTGTGGGGCCTGGGATCAGAGCTCCCCAATCCTGCTTTCTGGAGCTCTTCCAACCTGGACTTCTGACTCAGGCTCTGCAGCAAATATTCTTGTTTTCACTGGTTTCCCTACATGTGAAGAATCTGAGTGGTTTGGATCCCACCCATTTAGATGGATGACTGGATTTCCAGCCCTCCTGGCCCCTTGCCAACTATGATTCGGCCATTCTTCCTACCCCAAAGGGAGCAGAGCAACAAATGATATACTGCACTTTTTGCCTGATAGATGCAATTTACACATCAGCAAAAGCTTCCCAACAGGAAGGTCTGACATGGATGATGGTGAACAGCATTCCTTGGGCCTGGCATAGTGGCTCCTGCCTGCAATCTCAGTGCTTTTTGGGGGACCGAGGGAGGTGGATCACTTGAGCCCAGGAGTTCCAGAACAGCATGAGCAACATAGCAAGACCCTATCTCTACAAAAATAAAACAACAACAACAACAACAACAAAAAGGACAGCATTCCACTTGTTCTCAAGAGGTGTTTAAATTCTGAAGAATTTATCATCACCTTGAGCAAAGAATGGAACCAGGGGTATCCATGGTTCTTCTGTGCCCTTGGATTCTCCAGTGACTTCATCTTTAGCTAAAATCTCACCAGAATGTGGAGGAATGGCCACTCCTGAGCAGTTTTCTCTTGGCTTCCTGAGATCATGCATCAGAGGTCTGGCTTGGTCAGAAATATTGTCCCTTCCAGAGATATGGTCAATAGGTAATAGCGAGGGGGAGGGGGGGGAGAGAGAGAGAGAGAGAGAGAGAGAGAGAGGCTGAAGGGGGTTATTTCTATAGAGTCAGAGAGTCACATGTCCCTATACAATTCCACACAAGGAGGCTCAGCTATAATCACCACCAACCCACTTGCTTCTCTACAAGGTAACCATGTCACAACCAGTTCTTTCCAGAGGATTCAACATCACTGCTCATCCCCTCAGACCAATCTAGAGGACTGGTCATTGGGAAGTCATCCTGAGCTGTGACCACTCTCTGGAACCCTGCACTTCCTGCTTCACATGGACTGGATGAATGTCTAGGGGCACAGCTGTTTCTGGACATCTCGTTTGTCTTCAGAATCCCAAATCTTAAAGGCCTTCTGGTCCAACCATCCAATGCATGGTGAGGCCCCTTCTGGATTGCCCCTGCTGGCAGCATCCTGGTATGTGCCTACTATTTCCAGGGAAAGCCAGAAAGATTCCGTGCAATTATGTGGTCCCTGTTCCAGGGGAGCCTACAGCTTGGTCAGGGGACAGACTCTATCTTCTGTCAACTCAAGAACTAAGACTCAAATAAAAACATGCAAGGTTGGGGGCCAGGCCCGGTGGCTCATGCCTGTAATCCCAGCTCTTTGGGAAGCTGAAGCAGGCAGATCACCTGGGCTCAGGAGTTCAAGACCACCCTGGGCAACATGGTGAAACCCTATCTCTACCAAAAATGCAAAAAAGTAGCCGGGTGTGTTGGCGTGTGCCTGTGGTCCCAGCTACTCGGGAGGCTGAGATGGGAGGATCACTTGAATCTGGGAGGTGGATGTTGCAGTGAGCTGAGATTGTGCCACTGCACTCCAACTTGGATGACAAACTGAGACCCTGTCTCAAAAAAAAAAAAAAAGTGTAAGGGAATCTGAAAAGCCTCTATACTGTATGCATCCTACTATCTGACATTCTGGACAAGGCAAAACCATGAAGACAGTGAAAAAAAAAGATCAGGGGTTTTAGAGGTGGGGAGGAGGGATGGATAGGTGGAGCATAGAGGATTTTTAGGGCAGTGAAGGTTTTCCAGATGGTACTGTCATGTGGATACATGCCACACCTTTGTCCAGTACCACAGAATATACAAAACCAAGAGTGAACCCTAAATGGAAACTATGAACTTTATGAAATAATAATGCATCAACATTGACTCATCCCTTGTAACCAACGTACCACACCAATGCACGATGCTAATAACAGGGGGTGCTGGAGTAGGA